ATATATATAAACCTCCAACTGATGCGAGGAATCCTAGTTGCGGGCTTGAAGAGGTTTCGGACAAAGCATGGATTTTTATTGCGACCTTTTTGCATTGGTGACCTGGTGGGTCTCAATGATACGTTTTCCCTTGTCTTGATGGGGGAGTGTGCCTTCCTCATTTGGGCCTGGACAGTCTCTGTTTGGTGTCTTCTTGACCAGAAAAAAACAGACCCGTTTGTTTGTTTGTGCCATTTCATTCTCAGAAACCACAATCACAGGGCCGCAAGATCAATGAACTTTAGCAGCATTATCTCTTTATTCTTCTGAGATGAACCTCTCCACTTTGAGCCACAACGGCACCTTGAACCCTTCGCCTGACCTGGAACGCCTGCATTGATTGGCGTGGACGGTGGCGACCGGGTCCGAGGTTTTTCCAATGATGTCCGACCTTGGGAATAGTAAGGGGGTCGATCGCAATGGGTTGTTCACCTACAGTCACGGTGTCTCTTTTGTATTAATTCGTCCAAGCATCACCAAGCAACATCCTCTTGGACTCATGGTGGTGTTCTTGTTCGACAATGGTCTAACCCGGCGCCTGGCCCAGGGCACCTGTCCACTACGCTCCACGAGGGTCCCACACTCGACCATGAGGCATCCATCATATACAGTACGTTACATTTTATAAATAGCCTTTACCTTTAGCAAGCAACCCTTGTTTGACAAAGGATTTGGACTTCCAGGGTACATACATATCAACAATTATACATCAAAACTCCTTCAGAGCAACGTGCTGAAGGAGGTCAAGACCATGGCACCGGACACAGCAGCAACTTGGCAAATGAAGGTACTGTGGCCATTTTCGATAAACATGAGAGAGTATTATGTTTGTATCATCGCGAGCCCTTCCAACACCCCGAACTCTGTTGTCCCCCTATCCATTGTCCATATCATTCCTACCTCTACGACCTCCTCCCCTCAACCCCATCAGCACTCATTGTCAGAGGTGTTGCACTTCCGATTGGGCCGATCTCCAACCTTCGTGACGACGACGAGGCAGGAGCTGAACGGCCTCCGTTGGGCCGGTTTTCGGTTGGGGGCCATGGGCTTTCAGGTCGTCGGTCTTGGGACATGATTTTCATTGGACCTCTTGTAGGGCACAAGAGGGTAGGTGGACACAGTAGCGTCTCACGTGGGGGTCCCCTTTTTTGGGTCTTCCGTGTTAACCGTTAACCATTCCGCTGTTTAGTTCCAAAAACGCCAGTTTCCTGTCCAGCAGTGCGTTGACACGTGTGTGGCTGTCTTTGTGTGCAAAAGGTGTTGGGTAGTACTCTGCATACTTTTGGGCCAAACCCACAAAAACTATGAAGGAAGTACTTTAGAGTCCTAAACCAATCCGACCCTCTTCTCACTGTCAGTTGCTGAATCTAGAGCTCCAACCAAGACACTTCACTGCAGGACCCGGACAGTCGTGAGCCCGGACAAGTGACCGGCTTCGAACACCGAAGGTCCCACCATGGACATCGCTGTGAGGATGGCCTGAGAAAAGCGCGAACTGCCCGGTCTACGGGTGTTCTGAAACCAACGCACAACATGCGCGGGTGTGACTTCGTTCTGTTGAAACGATTCCGTTGGAATGTGTTGAGCGGTGGTGCGCCGCGCGGCTTTGCCCTCAACGTCCTCCTTCCATGGTCGCATGGTCGCTGTTCCTTTCGCTTCTTTCATCACCACAGCTCTTCTTTGTCAAGGTACACGAGTTGGGGTAGCGCAAGACCACCCCAAAACTGTCCAAAAAGCAGGGTCGTTCTTGCTAGGTTGATCTCTGCTTTTCGGTGGTTCTTTTTGCTGGTCACAGATCACTTTGAGCTCCCTTCCTTTTGAGTCCGACCAGCGAGCTGTCTTTCTTCACTCCGGCGGAGTCCGCTCGGACGACGCTTGGAGATGCTCTGGCCGACCCACCCAGCTACCCACTCAGCCTACCTGCCCTTTTCCTGACCCTTTTTGCTCCGGCCATCCATTTCACCACGATTTTGGGTGGCATCAGGCCGTCCGTTATTGATGTGTTGGAGCCTGTTCAAGTTGTGTTGATGCAGTTGTCGCCTGGTTTGGGCTGCCTCCGTTGGAACTTGTCACGAAAGCTAGCACCAGCTAGCTGGAGTTGTTCTTGCTTTAGCAAGTGACATCGCGCGAACACTTCATATGTAAGCCCCCCCCACGGGTTCAACTCCTCCCTGGGACGTCTCGACGTCTCTGGGACGTGCTTCACTTTCGGTTCTGGCATAGTGGGCCGACTGTCACCAACCCTCGGCCATCTTGATGTGCTGGCATTGCCATTCAAACAAAAGGGGTAAAGACGGTAGGACTGGTGGACGTTGCAAAAGAACATGGGCGCAAGAAAAGGACAAGCAGAAAGCACATATCTGGGCGACACATGACCGAACGTATGCAAAATGCAATGTCCAAACCTTATAGCAGCATGTGCCTTGTAAGAATTCTGTGGTCCGGGTAGTTTTCACTCTCTACGGAATCTTCGGTTAGTCATGTCATGTACGGTCATTGCAAAGAGATGGCTGTTGCAAATGCGGTGGGTAAAGAGGTGGAGAAGAAGGGGAGCGGATGCAGACCGAAACATCCACATGTCTTCTCACCACTTGGAATACAGACCTGCATCCGAATGGCACTGTGGCTGCTTCAGGTTCAAGAACTGTTCCTTGCCTGGCGAGTTGGTGTCTGGTTCTGTCATGCCTATGGCTGTTTTGGGTGTTTTTGGTAGTACGAGGATAACGAGTGATCTGTGGCACCTGTGGGTGGGTTTCGGCATCCCCAGCGCCATGGTGCGTTGCTATCCCCAAGCGCAGCAACCCTGTACCGTCACACCACACGCGTCTCGTCACACCACGCGCGTCACGAGTCTCGCTTGGTGCCGTGCGTCGGTGCCAGACCTGATGCGGGGCGACGTTCGGCTCTTGAAGCTCCCCGCCTTTGTTAGTGTGCATGGATCTCTGGAGACTATTTACATCTTCAACATGCCATTGAGGGACCCATTCTTTAGTGAGGGTATTCTGGATAAAGGAGGCCAAAACCTGAACAGTATAGTGGTCATTTTCAATTAGGTCATCCAGTGTCATAGAAGATAAGACTTTTGACATGGCTGTTCTATAGAGAAACTGATTTGGGGCGGCTTGAACATGTTGGTGAAGTGAAATCACAGTTTATCTAAACACAGCGCGGCCCATTCTGAGGATGTTTGTAGTGAAACCTGTTTCTGCTATGTCACTGTGCATGATGTGATTCGTCACCGTTGTGAAGTGAAAAGGAGAAGAACGATAAACAAAACATGGAATCACGTAAAAGTAACACATGTTTCTTTTTTTAGAATCTTTTTCAGACTTCTACCCTTTTGTCCTTTCTCCGTTCGATCCACCGACCATGACTTACAGAAGCACGATGAACCGAAGAACGTGGA